TATGTTCCCTCGGCCGTGGTCCTCTAATGTTCGATTATGTGCCCCCACTCGTGTTTGTGCTTTATATTATGGTCGTGTCTGAAACTAACACGGTCATGGTGACTTTGATTACTTATTACTTGTGTGTTATTATTATTCTCCATGCAGGATGCGTCAACTATTTGTGATCTATGGTGGCAAGTGGAACGAGGCTAGTACTGTGTACGAAGGTGGCATCATGGGTGGGCTAGATGTTGATGAAACAATAACATATGCCAACCTAGTAAATGTCTTGCACATGCTTACTAGAATTGATCCTGACCAATTTGGTCTTATTGTACAGTACGTATATAGATTTGATTTTCGGTACGAAGTCCCAAACTATCTAATATTTGATGACAGCAGTTTGATATTCTATTTGAACGGTCCTCCCGATCCGTCACAAGTATCCTTGTACGTAACCGTCGTACCTAAAGCATCATATGGTAGTGGGAGCAGGAGAGGAAATAATTTTTTCGAAACCCATACATCGTCTTCATTCCCATATTACCCAAGGCAAAATGATCCATGTTTCGGTCGTTCTATTTCTATTGACTCTCCTCTGGATGATGTCGGTCTTCCCTCATTTGTCCCACAGATTACACCATTAGCCGATAACGTTATCCCATGTAACCTAGACGACGACGAATCTCCATATTATGGTCAACTGTACGAGAACGAGGTTGAGTACAAATTTCAGAGTGATGATGAGTATGATTATGACGAATATCGTACCGAGGATGGGATTGAGGACGATGGTGGGAATGGGTATGACAATGGGGAGGAGGATGAATATTATACCGAGGATGTGCTTGACGAACATTATGAGAATGAAGGTCAACATGTTCATGAGTCGCATATAGTGAGTGGGAATGCACCTTATCAAACTGTTGAAGAAGTTGTTTCACGTCCGATGCAGAATATCATAACTGGCAATGGGTTCGACTTCATAAGTGAAATTGCTGTTAAGGGTATTTTCCGTTCGAAGGAAGAACTACGCTTCAAACTGTCTGTGCTAGCTATGAAGTTGAATTTCGAATATAAGGTTAAAAAATCGACAAAGACATTGTTCACTGTTGGATGTACCGAGCAAGGTTGCAAATGGGGTTTGCGTGCGAAGAGTATCC